GAAATACTGACAGAGAATAAATGGACAAAGTCAAATAGCTAATAATGGCTCTAAGGATAAATTCAATAACAACATTCAGGAAATCAACCAACCACTAGCAAAGTAAATAGTAAAAGTTAATTAAATTCTCATCCCAAAATAAGTCTAGGCTACTCTCTCAAAATGGAACAATGATAAAAGCAAAAGATGACATATTTTAAACTCAATGTTTCTCTGCCATCACTTTACAAAGTTTTCCATTTCTCTCTTGTAATTCCCTCAGTGCTTAATATGCAAAATCTTAGCATCTTTCATTATTCCCCAACATTGCATACAAAGGGGTCTTCAAGGCCTTTTCCAGTTCCCATTCTGCCATCCCTGTTTCGAGGTCACTTTATACCTACATGGATTAAAAGTTACCTGTGAGGTTTCACTTGGTTTGCTCTATTTTTTTTTGAGTTGGAGTCTCACTCTTGCCCAGACTGGAGTACAGTGACTGCTCCTGGCCACTGCAGCCTCGACCTGCTGGGCTCTGGCGATCCTTCCGCTCAGCCTTCCAAGTAGCTGGAACCACAGGCGCGCGTTACCACGCCCGGCTAATTTTTTGATTTATTATAGAGATGAGGTCTTGCCAAGTTGCCCGGGCGGGTCTCGAACCCGCAGGCTCAGACAATCCACTCACCTCAGCCACCCAAAGCATGGGATTACAGGCTGAGCCACCACCCTATTAATCATGCTAAAAGACATACTTTCTTCCTGTCAGCATTCCCTTACATAACTATGACTCCTAACTGAATAACATGCAAATACCTCAGGTTAACATTCAAGGCCCTTGACCGGTTACCTCCTTCCTTCCCCCCAACTCAATTATTCCAATCAGTCTTCTAAATATTCCTCCAAACTACCACAATAATTCCTCTTTCCATACTTTGCCCATACTGTTTGCCTTGCCTAGAATAATGTTCCCATTCCTTCCTCCCTGTAATTCTGAGTCCATATATACTAATATATAGAAATATTCAAGAAATACAACAAATTTACATGTAATCTGATTTTGTATAATGTCAGTAGAACCCTAAATAATTTTCTAATTTCAATTACGCTTATTTGTCTCCAGTCCTCTGGATAGGACTAGAAACTTTTTGAAGGTAAGAATCACATTTTCATTTCTTTTGTATTACTCATCTAGAACAATATGCAGTTACTTGAATTCACAGAATTGTTTCCTGAAATCATCTAATACAGCACCTTCACTCTGAATAAGGAAAAAACTAATTAAAGGACACGTAATTCTTTAGTGGAAAAACAAGAACCAGAATTCAGGCCACAATTTATAATTTACTGTTGTCTAACACTTAGTAAGTGCTTGTTAAATTAACTCCAGGGTAATAAAAATCATTTTGTAAGGCTGCATCCAGCAACTCTTCACTGCAATGTAAAAGACAGTCTGTGCCTCATCAAAGTAGAGTACCTATTACACTAGATTTTCCACAAGCTAAGCAGGTTCTCTGTTAATAATCTGACAATTATTTTAAGCAATATTAATTTTTACACAAGTTTAGTATATTAGAAATTTCATTTTTCAGTTTAGTACCTGAAATACTCATATATAATTGACCTCACTGAGTTTAGGAGAAAAATGTACATTAAAAATAAGATCAAGGTAGCCCATGATTAGAGTATGAAGCAATCTGAAATTATACTAGTAATCAGAAGCAATGAAGGCCTTGACTTCTCCACAATGCAATATATTAATGTAGCAAAACTGCACTTGTACTCTATGTATACGAAGAAAAAAAAGGAAGTCTAAATAAAGAAAACAACAGCATTGTTGAAAATACCCTCACTCTTCCATCAGAACCACTTTCTTTCCTTTTACATATCCATTAGGAAATAGATAATAGATTATTTCATCCCAACAGTTCTGATAAGTACATTAGTCATGCAAATCAAATTATACATATTTTTACATAGCAAAAGAATTCAGATAATTAAATCACATACCATTTGATTTGTTTATATAAAATTGTGCTTTCCTGCTTCTTAATAAGTATATTCAAACCTCATAATCTCTCCAGAAACCAGGAAGGTTGAACATGAAGCATATTTATAACATCATCAGACATTTACTCTACATTAATTCAGTAAATACATTAAATTTCTTTTGTCTCATTGCTGATTAAATATTACTTAAGGTTTTAGATTTTCATAAATTTTTTTCTACAAACATTAGAGATCAGATATAACTTTCTTGTCTAGTTTTTTGTTTATTTTTAACTCAAGGAACATAGATTAACTTAGTATAGTCCTCAAACATTTAGGAAGCTATTCTATTAGTCAAATTAGATACTCATTTAGAATTCGAATAATCCAATTATACTTGTAAAAACATCTACTTTTTGTTCTGTAGTTAAATGAAGCAAAATACTTTACTCAGAAGCATAGTTCTGCTCTAAAGACACCATTTAGGACAACTGTATTACAGATTACAGGAGTCTAATACAAGAAAAAAAATAAAAGGATCAAAAAAACCCAATTACAATAAGAAAACAGACAAAAGTGCAAGGTCAATCAATATATACCCTTGTCATAAACCAATACAAAGCTCTGAAATTAGAATCTATAAATTTAGGTGTCTAGTTTCAAAAATAACAAAAAGAAACTAACATATATCTTAAACTGCATATGTGGAAAATGAGATAAAAATAAAAACAGCTTAGTCATTTTCAATAAATCAAAGCCATAATAAATAAAGTCCATAAGCTCATCTGCTACTTAAACCTAACAGAAGGAATAACTAGGTGGTATTACTGGTAGCAAGCCAATTTATCACTCTGGAATGTTGTCTCATAAAAAGAGAAAGCAGAAAGAGAATTGGTATACAGTTTTCCAGAATTCATTCTTAATACAGTCTAATGGGCTTAAAAAAAATGTTTAGAATATAATTGTACATTAGAATTAAAGGCTCACTTTCATTCACATAATATTTAACTATAAAAAATTTGTATACACAAGTGATAAACAAGTGATAATTTTGGCTACTTGATCCTTGATTTTAATTGGCAATTAGCACTGGACCTAACATTTTAACCACACCTTTTGTGTCAGTTTGCTAATTACTCAAATGCATTAAGTTAAAAGTATTGTCTAAGAAAAATATTTGTTTTTATAAAATCAACCTTACTGGTGGTACTCACTTAAAATTACATCAAATTTTAAAAAGGGCCAGATTGGCTGTATGAAGAAAAAAAGTTACATACCAAAAAATTGTTGAGACCACACTAACAGTAAAAACTGAGTCTATTTTAAAGAAAAGCAAAATAATAATTTTTAAAAAACGGATTTAATTCAACTTTACTTTTCTTCTAATCCAGTTATGAAATTTCTTTTTTGGGGAAAAAAACTCTCAGTTCCAGAATCCATCCAGATCCAACAATGCACTAGTCTTATAAAATAAAACAAAACACACACACACACACACACACACACACAGAGAGAGAGAGAGAGAGAGAGAGAGAGAGAGAGAGAGAGAGAGAGAGAGAGAGAGAGAGAGAGTTTTGCTGATCCTCAGTTTGGTTCAGAAATAAAATCATCTAAAAATTGAAGCCAAGAAATATTTTAGTTTCAGCTATCTAGATATTTGGACAAGAACATTGTAGATATACTTGCCTCAGAAATTAACAGATTCAGATCTAACCTGGTCAGATTTTGCCACTTAATTACATATGTCTGCACTACTAGTATTCACTATGTTTGGTAAACAGTCCAATAGTAAAGCAATTTAATAGTCCATCTGAAAACTTCTATTAGCATTTTGAAGACAGTACCCTAAATCACAAATGAAACTTGAGGCACCACATCACACTTCTTTGAAATACAGATTTTGAAAGATAAGTAAAAGGCCTGGCACATGTTGAACTACAAAGTAGGTTCCCTTCCTGTCAGGAGCCAAATAAATTTACAACATAAAGGGGCAAAGCTCCTCCCCTACTCCACTTTTTTTGACAACAGTAATGTCTATTGAGATCATCTAGTGGTTTTTTTTTTCTATTTATTACCATTACGCCAAAAATATGTATCGGGTAAATATCCTACAGATGGATGAACGAAGCATTTTCTTTTTAAAATTGAATGTTTAAGTTGAAAAATAAGAATATTTAGATTAAGTATGGTTAAATGTTACAGTAAAAGCAAACAAATTTTATTTCAAGTTAAAAAGATGACGTGAGAAGCAGTATCCACTTCAGAATAAAAAATGAACTTAAAAAAAAATTTTTTTTTGAAGTATTTGAAAAAAATGCTTATGACAAAACTACTACAGTTAACCAGGAAAAAGTAATTCTTTGCAATTCTATGTAATACTTTAATGTACACCTAACCTAAGTTTTACAAATACATAACAAATGTCGATTGTTAAAGGGAAAAGTAAAGAGAGTACATTTATCCCTATACATTTTTCAAGAAAATATTCTAAATCAGAAAAGATGAACCTTTGGTAACTACTTGTAAAAAATTAATTTGCTACATTTGTCCTCGGCTAATGATTCTTCTAGATGGACATGCCAAAAAAACCAAATTCAAATCCTCTAATTCATCAGAATGACAAATAATAATTTCAATATCTACCATGCATATTTTAAAAAGCAATTAAAATTTGCATCGTATAACTACTGCCTTAAACCTCATCCTTAGCATACCTTTCAAAAGACCACTAGTAGAAGCAGATATATTTCCCCTTAGTAACTTCTATGTCCCAGCAAAAAAAGTAGTTATTATAGCAAAACTTTAGATGTCCGTTTGGGTACATATTTAATTACTATAAACTGAGAACTGAACCACACATAACCTGAATCAAGGGAAAAGCCAACAGCACATGATCTCTCATATACCTGATAACACCATTTCTTTGGAACAAGAAAATAAAAACGTCTTTGGAACTAGTCAGCAGCACAGAAGGACTGGCCATAATAATTGGGGAGAATAAAAGTAAGAGTTAAAAAATAAAATTAAAGAAAGGATACAGCCGTAAAGCACCAGTCTGAGTTCCCACTGCTAGGATCTTCTGTACAGGATCAAAGGCCAGGGCTGAGGGTTGATAGGGAAATCCATGGCGAACAGTCTGGGGATGGGCAAGTGACATCACAGCAACCAAGGCAGCAAGCGAAATTTAAAAATAGAAAAGTCAATAAAGGCATTAGAATTTAGAACCAACTACCACTAACACAAAACACACACACATGCACTTACTGCTTTAGAAAAAATAAGTGAACTCTACATTAACACTTATTCACATGGAAACTGAAACAAACAAAAACCTATTCCAGTGATACACTTTAATTTCTGCTTTTCCACAATACTGGTATTTCACAGAAGAAAATCTTTTATTAATAATCTATACTATTACATCCGACACCAAATGACTAAAGTTTGCAGTGACTCAAAATTCTATAAATCCTTTTAAAAATGCAATTCATGCTTTATTTCGGGAGTAATTACTCCAACATTACGTTATTTGGATGCTAAATGCAAGTGTTTCTAAGGAAAAGCTGTCGTTTAAGTGCTTTAGTCAAGGACTCAGTAAAGCAATTATCAAACCTCTATTCCAACATGTTGCATTTATACAGAATGAAAACGAGTACAACATGTATTTGTGCAATTTACTATTAAGACCATAATAATAATTGTAGGGCACCCGGCAAAAAAAAAAAAAAGTACCCACTTTTAAGAAACACAAACACACGGCTATTTATGAGGAAGACAGGTACTGACACCAAGATAAGTTTGTTATTTCTCACTAGGCAGCTGGTGAATTAATTCGCTGCATCATTCTTTCTGAATTACAGAACGCTAGGGCAATTACCGCGCCATTAATAGTGGGAAAAAACCTAGTACTAACTTTTTAATCAACCATAATGATAAAAAAAAAAAAAAAAAAAGGCTCAAAGGTCTGGCCGAACAGGTTTGTCTTTTGGATAAACAATATTCATTAGACACTTTCCCAAGAAAACTTCGAGGTTGGTGAATTACATTAAAATGCTTAAAATACAAACGCTTCCAGATTATTACGGGTAGTGTCAGAATACGACTTGAAGCAACCTGGAACGATCGCTGCATTTCAAGAGGGGAGAGAGAAAACTCAACGAAAAAGGAGTAAGCGACCAATCTCCAAAACAACCCACCAAAGAAACGTTTGCTAGAGGAGGAGCGAGCCCTTTCTTTATTAGAGCTATGACTATTGGCGCGCTCGTCCCTTGCACTCCCGTGGACAGCCCGGGATGACCCTTATAACGACCCCCGTTTTCCCACGACGGTGTCGCGGGGCTGCGCACTCCGTTCACCTTGCAGAGCTGAAAGTGCTCGGACTGGAGTGTTTCCTGGATCTCAGGCTCCCGGTTCCCGGGCGGATGCTGTTGCTGCGGCTGCTGCTGCGAGGCCGAGGACGAGCCGGCGGTCAGGCCGTCCAGCACCTTCCTGATGTTGAATTTCCTCATGGTCTCGGCGGGGCTCCCCCGCAGCCCGGGAGAAGAGGCACAAGGGGTGCCCGGGCGG